AGGGAAGAAAAGGGAGAGGGAAGGAGGGAGGAAAGGAGACAGCAAAAGAAGCGAGAGAAGGAGGAAGAGAGGCAGAGAGGGAGAAAAGGAGACAGGAAAAGAAGCGAGGGAAGAAGGAAGAGATGGAGGGAGGGAAGGAGGGAGGAAGGGAAGGAGGGAGGGAAGAAAGGGAAAGGGACGGAAAGGAAGGGGGCTCACCTTTCCTGGCGGGCGGCGGCGGTCCCGCGTTGAGGCTGGCGGGGCCCAGCGCCTTCCGGGGAGCGCGGGCGCCCAATACTGCGGGGAGAGCGGGCGGTCAGCGGCGACAACCGGCACCAGGCCTCTTTCTTCCCCTGTCCTGTCACGTCCCGTCCCGTCTCCTGTCCCGTCCCGTCTCCTGTCCCGTCCCGTCTCCCGTCCCGTCTCGTCTCCCGTCCCGTCCCGTCTCCCGTCCCGTCTCGTCTCGTCTCCCGTCTCGTCTTGTCTCCCGTCCCGTCCCGTCCCGCTCCATCCCCCGTCCCGCACCCTTGCGGAAGGCGCTGCCGCGCTGGTCCGCCCTGGTCCGCACCATGCCGGCTCTGCCACGGCCCGCCCCGGCCCCGCCGCGCTCTCAGCCGCCAATGGCAGCGCGGGGGCCGCCCCACTTCCCGCGGACACCCGCGACCCGCATCCGACGTAGGTTACCGGGAAGGAATTCTTCCCTGTGAAGGGTTGAGGCGCTGTCACAGGTTGCCCAGAGAAGCCCCGTCGCTGAAAGTGTCCAAGGCCACGTTGGACGCGGCTTGGAGCAACCTGGTCTAGGGGAAGGTGTCCCTGCCCATGGCAGGGGGTGGGACTGGATGATCCTTCGGGTCCCTTCTCACCCAAACCATTCCCGGACTCTACGAACAATAAACCCCTGCAGCGCTACAGGCTGGGCACAGAGTGGCTGGAGAGCAGACAGGCAGAAAGGGACCTGGGGGTGCTGATTGACAGGAGGCTGAACATGAGCCAGCAGTGTGCCTAGGTGGCCAAGAAGGCCAATGGCATCCTGGCCTGCATCAAGAACAGTGTGGCCAGCAGGAGCAGGGAAGTGATCCTTCCCCTGTACTCAGCTCTGGTGAGGCCACACCTTGAGTATTGTGTTCAGTTCCGGACCCTTCAGTTCAGGAAGGACATTGAGGTGCTGGAGGGAGTTCAGAGAAGAGCAACCAGGCTGGTGAAGGGACCTGAGCACAAGTCCTATGAGGAGAGGCTGAGGGAGCTGAGGGTGTTTAGCCTGGAGAAGAGGAGGCTCAGAGGTGACCTCATCACTCTCTACAACTCCCTGAGAGGAGGTTGTAGCCAGGTGGGGGTCGGTCTCTTCTCCCAGGCAATCGGCAGTAGGACAAGAGGGCACGGGCTTAAGCTCTGCCAGGGGAGGTTTAGGTTGGATATTAGAAAGAAGTTCTTTACAGAGAGAGTGATCGGGCATTGGAATGGCCTGCCCAGAGAGGTAGTGGATTCACCGTTCCTGGAGGTTTTTAAGATGAGGCTGCATGTGGCACTGAGTGGGGTTGGATCAAGGGTTGGACTTGATGATCTCGGAGGTCTCTTCCAACCCAGTTAATTCTAAGATTCTGGGAACGGTCCCGGAACGGTCGCGCCGCGAGCGCGTTGCCGGGGGGAAGGCAAGCGGAGGGTGCCGGGCGGTGCGCTGCCGTTTCCCGCCCCCCGCGGAAGATGGCGGCGCCCAGCGCGCTCTTGGCCTGGTGCGTCCAACACCTGCGGGGCGACTTCGGGCTGGACGTGGGCGAGGAGGTGGTGAGGTGAGCGCGGCCGGGACCCTCTTGCCTCTCCACACCCCTCCGCGGTCCAACACAGAGGGAGCAGGGTGTGTCAGAGCGGCGCTCGAGGGTGTGTGCCCAGGGTTGTCCGTCGGGTGGGGGCACTGGGGGGCGGGAGATGGCAGGGAGGGGTTTGTGGGGTCACAGAATCACGCACCCAAAGGCCTTTGTTTCCTTGTCCTGTAGGACATTACCGGGCTGATTCTAATGGGGGCCCCCCCAGGCAGTTTCTGTATTTGGTGGGAAAATGGAGGTTCGGCAGAGAATTCTTAATTGAAAGCAGTGTCTGTAAGACAGCATTTTATACTGCCAGCTTTTCAGTCCGCAGGGCAGCCTACAAGTTTATCTTAGAAAAGCAATTCAATTGCTGGCACATGGAAGTCACCAGTGCACCCCTAAGTTTTCTAGAACATCAGTAACAAAGTCTGAGCACTGAGAAGTTGTCTGAACTACCAATTACTCCACCAGTTTTCAGAACCCCCCCTGAGGTCCTTGGAGACAGATGCTGCGCTTTTCCAGACTTTTCTGGGAACATTATTTCCATGAGGATACAGAGGTTTGGAGACACATTGTTAACTCTTTAGCAGTTGCCTACTACTTCACGAACTGGTTTGGGTTAGGAGGGACCTTAAAGCTCATCGCATTCCAACCCCTGCCAGGATCCTACTACAGTCTCCACAAACCTGATCTGAAAAGGAGAGATAAATGACACACCTGTACCATTAAACTCTTGGATCAGAGCTGGAACAGCAGCCCCTTACCCACGTTTATCCCCTTGCCCCCTCACAGGTACATCCTGTCCATAACCAACGAGGACGAGATCCGGGAGTACGTCATCGACCTCCTCCAGGGCACCGATGGGAAAAAGAGCTGGTTTGTGGAAGAGCTACTTTCCAGGTGGAGGAAATCCTCCCAGCTGCCCTCTGAGCCTTTCCCAGCATATTGGAAGAAGGACGGTGAGTGCCACAGGGAAGAAAGAATCAAAGTCTCCAATAAGCTTGTCTGAGTTGTTGTGTTTATAAAGAGTCATATGCCATGAACCCCTGCGTGGATAACGGTTTAATTCCTGGTCATGAGGACGGGTTGAAGCCCATTTTTAGTCACCAAGTAGAGTCCAAGGATATCTTTCCCTTGCTGGTGCTCACCCAGCCTCTTTGTGCTTGCACACACTTCCAGAGGCTTCGGAAGTGCCACGGGCTGAAGAACAAGGGAAGAAGGGGAAACGCAAAGGCAGGAACAAACAGGAGACACCCGCATACACCGAGCCCAGCACACACGTGGAGGAAGTGAAAACCCCCCTGGACCTGGCCAAGGTGAACCTGGTGGGGACACTGGGGTGGTTGGATGTCAGTGGGAAGGCTTGGAACCTGAGGTGTGGGAAAAGGAATATCAAACACCAATAAAGGTGGGATTGGAAAGTGGAAATGAGCATTCAGGACGTGTGGGGCTGGCATGCCCAGGTGAGCAATGGCACCTGGCCTGTACCAGCCATAGTGTGGCCACAGGCCCAGGGCAGTGACTGTCCACCTGTGCTGGGAACTGCTGAGGCCACACCTCAAATCCTGGGGTCAGTTCTGGGCCCCACACTCCAAGAAAGACATTGAGGGGTTGGAGCATGTCCAGAAAAGGGAGTGGGCCTGGGGAAGGGTATGGAGCACCAGGAGTAGCTGAGGGAGCTGGGGGGGCTCAGCCTGGAGAAAAGGAGGCTCAGGGGGGACCTTCTGGCTTTCTCCAACTCCCTGACAGGAAAGTGGAGCCAAGTGGGGGTCAGGCTCTGCTCCCAGGGAACAAGGGACAGGATGAGAGGAAACAACCTCAAGCTGTGGCAGGGGAGGTTTAGGTTGGATATTGAGGAAAATTTTTTCATGGAAAGGCTGGTTAAGCACTGGCACAGGTGGAGTCCCCATCCCTGGAAGTGTTCAAAAGGCACATGAATGTGGCACTTGGGGATAGGGGTTAGTTGTGGTACATGGCAGTGCTGGATTACTGGTTGGACTTTGATCTTGTAAGGCTTCTCCAGCCTAAATGATCCTATGATTCTATGATATACAGTCTGGGGCAAAGCTTGTGTGTGTTTGTCCCTATAATGGGGAGTAAAATAATCAACAGGTAGCAAATCCATGTCAGGGGGAATTTTGCTCCCTCCAAATGCCTGGATTAGAGAGCAGGAGAAGGAAGTTGAGGCTGTAATTGGGAATAAAAATGATTTCTTTAAAGCAGAGGTGTGATGGTGGGGAACTGAGGAAGCCACCAAGTGGAAAGAACATTCCTTCTTGCTGTATTTAAACCTTCCCAGTCATGCTGAATAAACTTGAATTGGCAGCTGAAATATTTCTCAAAGAAACTGCAAAATAAGAGCACAGAAATGCTAAATCCAAAGGAATGTTGCTGTTTTCAAGCAGCACAAGTCTGTGCAAAAAGCAGTAGTTGCCTTCCTCTGTGGTAGTCAACTTACTCTTTGTAGCAGCCTGAGAGCTACAAAGTAGCCCTGAGAGGCAGAGATGAACCTGAGTAACAAATGGAACTTGAATTCGTGTTTTTAAATGGAAGATTTTGGAGCAAGGAGGCTGCAAAGTGTTTGTAAAAGTGTTTGTAAGATAAAGCCCTACATTTTTGAATTGGAGGGTTAAAAATGGACAGTGGTGTTCCATTGCCCTGTAGTTATCCTCTAATTTATTTAAAATTAACAAAAACAAGTGAGATAGCTCTACCGGGGTCACTTTATCTGGTTTTGGGTTTTTTTCATGGTTGCCCTGTTTGGATCTGGCAGTGGCACTAAAACCAGTCAGGCTTTACTGAAGGGACTGGAAATGCTGCATCACTAGAGTGAAACTCAGGTGAATCACAGAATCAGTGAGGCCAAGTCTCAGAAGAAGGAGCAGAGTTTATTTTGCAGCTCAATACTTGAACCTGCTGTGCATGGAAAACCTCTGCTGAGGTTGCTGTGCTGGATGGGACACAGGAAAGCTGCTTTGAGGTGCCCTGGCTGTGAATGCAGTGGCCCTGCTGCCACCAATAGCTCTGTGTTGGGATAGGCACACACAGGGTTTCCCAGGGCATTGCCATAGTCTAAATAACACTTGGAAATAAATCTGGAAGTAGCTGAGCTGCTGTTGGGAGCTGTTAAGCCTCTATGAGCTGCTACTGCAGCCTTGATCTGAGCAGCTCCAGCTCACATAGGCAACAAACATAAAGTGCATCAGCAACATCCTTGTTCCTTGGTTTGTTTGGATTCTTGGAGCTTTTCTGGCAGCCTGAGCTTGTCTTTCTGTTCAGTCTGGGGTCTGGTCCAAGTTTCCTTGCAGTGAGGCAGAGTAATACTTGTGAGTCACCTGGCCTGCCCAGGGGTCAGTGCTCACTCTCTGCTGCCAGTTTGGCACTTTGAGCACAGTTTATTTGTTTATTTTTTTGCTTCCCCAGGCCCAGAAGAGCAGCAGTGGTGTCGGCAGCAGTAGCATTTCCTGTAAGAAGAAGCCCAAATATGTCAGCCTGTACACCAAGGAGGGGCAGGACAGGCTGGCCGTGCTCATCCCAGGCCGTCATGCCTGTGAGTGCCTGGGCCAGAAGCACAAGCTCATCAATAACTGCCTGACATGCGGACGCATTGTCTGTGCCCAGGAGGGCTCTGGGCCCTGCCTGTTCTGCGGGACCCTGGTGAGTCCCCAGGGGGGATATTTTGACTTGCTTTGACCTGGAGAAGTTTGCTGGATTAGCCTCTTAAATAGAAGTTCCTCTAGCAAAGTTTTAAAGCTGGGCAAGAAGGAAC